TATTCATTGTTTAGCAACATGTTATATACCCTCCATGTCTTTATGTGTTTTTCAGTTTTATTCTTGTGATTGATTTCTAGTTTCATACCATTATAGTCAGATAAAGTGCTTGATATGATTTCAGTCTTCTTAAATTTATTGAGACTTGTTTTGTGTCCTAACATATGGCCTATCCTAGAAAATATTCCATGTGCACTTGAAAAGAATGTATATTTTGCTGCTTTGGGGTAAAATGCTTTGAAGATATCAATTAAATTTATCTTATGTAGTGTCTTTAAGAACATTGCTTTCTTGTTGATTTTCTGCCTGGAAGATCTACCTATTGATGGCAGTGGTGTGTTGGAATCCTTTACTATGACTGTATTACTGTCAATCTCTCCCTTTATGTCCATCAAGATTTGCTATACGTACTTAGGTGCTCCTATGTTGGGTGCATAAATGTTTACAAGGATTATATCCTCTTGTTGAATTACTCCACTTATCATTATGTGGTGTCCCTCTTTGTTACTACAGCCTTTGTTTTAAAGACTTTTTTTCCTAGATGTAAATATGCTATCCCAGCATTTCTTCCTTTCCATTTGCAAGAAATACCTTTTTTCATCCCTTTACTTTTAGTCTCTGTGTACTTTTCATTCTGAGGTGGGTCTCTTATAGATAGCCCATACAAGGCCTGTCCAGAAAGTACCCAGCCATGTAATATGAAAAATTGAGACATTTATTGAAGATACAAGAAGCATTGTAAAAAGTACAGTGATGCCTCAGTCCCCTTCAAAGTAGGCACCTTGAGATCCCACACAGTTCTACCAATTGCCATCAGCTGCCCTGTACTATTTTCCAGAATCTCATCAATGGTCTGAAATCTCTTCCCTTTCAAAAGGAACTTTAGTTTTGGGAAAAGCCAGAAGTTTCAGGGTGCCAAATCTGGGCTGTGGGGACCTCAGTCACCTGAGTCATTGGATGTTTTGCCAAAAAACTCTGCACGAGACATGATGCATGAGCAGGTACATTGTCGTGATGATTCTGCCAATCACCAATTGCCCATAGCTGTGGCCTTTGGAATCATCTGGATAGTTTTTGCAGAGGAATGTTCAAGCTTAATGCAAAATTAGATGCAGATTTGTGGCTCTACTCATTCAGTCATTTTGAATACGACAGCCATACAGTACACATGCTCACTCAACTGCATCTACCACCCCCACTGACTAGTGCAGTGAAGTCATCATTGTTCATGCATGCACATTCCAGTCCACTCTCTTTGGCTGCCAGGTTACATCAATGTCACACAAACCATTCTTACATTAACAATGGCTGAACTTTTTCCAGACAGATCTCATATATGGGTCTTGCTTTTTTATTCACTCAGCTACCTTGTCTTTTGATTGAAGCATTTAAGCCATTTCTATTTAAAATGGTTATTGATAGGTATGTATTTACTGCCATTTATTCTTTTAACTACATTCCTCCTTTTTCTTCTTTTTCCACTTAAAAATCCTCGTCTGAGGACATGTTTACCGATTTTAAAGAAGGGGAAAAGAGGGAGGCGGGAGAAAGCGACTGATGTGAGAAACAACTATCAGTTGATTCTCAAATGCACCCTGACTAGGGACTGAACCTGAAACCTACGTATGTGCCCTGACCAGGAATCGAACCTCCAACATTTTGTGTACAACATGATGCTCCAACCAACTGGGGCACCTGGCCAGAGTTCTTTTACTTCTTCAAGTAGGCCCTCTAACATTTCTTATAACACTGCTTTGGTGCTAACAAACTCTTTTAACTTTTTTTTTTGAGAAACTCTTTATTTGTCCTTCAATTTAAAATTATAGCCTTCCTGAGTAAAGTAGTCTTGGTTGTATATCCTTGCTTTTTATCATTCTATTTTATGCCAATCCTTTCTGGCCTGAGATATTTTTGTTGAGAAATCAGCTGACAGTTCTATGGGAGCTGACTTGTAGGTAACTGTATTTCTCTTGTACCTTTTAAGATTCTCTCTTTGTCTTTAACCTTTGGTATTTTAATTATGATGTGTGTTGGTGTGGGCCTTTTTGTGTTCATCTTGTTTGGGGTTCTGTGCTGCCTGGACTTGTGTGTTTTTTTCCTTCACTAGATTAGGGAACTTTTCAGTCATCATTTCTTCAAATAGGTTCTTGATCTCTTGCTCTCTCTTTTTTCCTTCTGGTACCTCTACGATGCATATGATGCAGATGTTGGTATACTTCATGTTGCCCCAAGTTCCCTTAAACTATCTTAATTCTTTCTAAGCCTTTTTTTCCCTGTTTGCTCCTCTGATTCAGTGTTTTTTTCTCCCTTGTCTTCCAATTAGCTGATTTGATCCTATTCTTCATCCAACCTATTTATTTTTTCCAGTATAGTCTTGATATTGCATTCTTCATTTCTGACTGGTTTTGTTTTCTATGTCTTTTTCATGTGGTTGTAGTTCTAAGAACCTTGAGCATCCTTGTAACCATTACTTTAAGCTATGTATCTGATCAATTACTCTCCTCCATTTCATTTAGCTCTTTTTCTGGAGAGTTCTCCTGTTTTTTCATTTGGAGCCTATTTCTTCATCTCCCCCTTTTGGCTGCCTCTTTGTGTTTGTTTCTGTGTATTATGTAGATCTGCTATGACTCCCAGTCTTCGTTGCGTGGCCTTATGTAGAAGGTGTCCTGTGGGACATAGTGGTACAGTCTTCTTCACCGCCTGAGATGGGTGTTCTAGAAATGTCCCTTGTGTGGATTATGTGCGCCCTCCTGTTGTAAGTGAGTCTTGACTGCTATTGGTTAGTTTGTACATGAGATCAACCCTCAGGCTGGCTTAACTGTGAGGGTCAACCCTGACCATCACATGCAAAATGCTAGGTAGGTGCTAACCACACAAAGCAGAATTTGCCTCAGCAGGGTTTGGTGTCTGCCAAAATCTCCCTTTGGATATACTGTTTGTGAAACTTACTGAATCCTGTTTTGATGCTGTCTGAAGCTAGGTTTTGTTAGTTCTGGGCCTCTTTGGAGGGACTCTGGTGCAGGCCAATGTCAGACCCTGTCTGTGCCTAACCCTTGGAAACCTGTTTGGAGCTACAGGTGATCCAGTTTGTGGCTGCCTCTTCTAGGCATAGATGCACATGGGAAGGACCAAGCTGCACACAAAAGGGCAGCTTTTTCCAGCACTGACACCAGAGACAGGTCAGCAGAAGTCCCAAGGCACCCTGAGATCTGTCTCAATCTGCTTCTACCTAACTGCTCCCTGTTCGGCTCAGTCACTGAAAAAACCTCTGGCAAAGTAAGGAGGATGGGGCTGGTGCATCTCCCATTAGAGAGAGGTGCAAGTCAATCTTCAGGACAGGTGGCAGGTATGGTCCCCGCCCCAAAGCCATACAACTCAGTCTATCCCAGATTTTGCCCTGACATCAGCAGGGTGGAGCCACTAGGAATAGGGTGGTTGGGGTCTCTTCAGCCTGAAGGCTGGGTCTGCAGAAAGCTGAGAGGGTGGTTCTATTGAATCTCCCATGAGGGAGAAGCCCCATTCAGGTTCATGGGAAAGTGGGGGAAATGGCACCTATCCCCAAACCTGACAACTCAGTCACTTATACCCCTGATTTGGCCCAGATTTCTATACCTTGGCCAAGGCTTAAGTTTTTCAGGGCAGGTGAGATGTAGTTCAGAGGGTGGGGAAATTGCTTTCCCTCAGGCTGATTCTACATGTAGTGGAATGCTTCACCTAAGAAAGATGGCTTCTGCAGTATGGAAGAATGACTCAGCTCGGGGCTCCTAGTGGCTGTCACCCAAGCTCCCTACCCATAGCCACAAACCCAGCTCTCCTTGAGTAGCTCTAGTCTACTCCATCCTCCCACCCCTGGTGCCCAGGGTGAGTGGCTGTGAACAAAACTTTGTGCATTAGCCCTTTAAGAGCGTGCCTGTGTCTCTAGTGGACTCCATCTCTCCGTAGTGGACAGAAACCCTGCTGCTTTTCACAGCTGGATGTTATGAGGGCACATCTTCCTACCTCTAGTGCTCTGGGCTGGAGAGCCTGGTTGGGCTTTAGACTCCACACTTCTCAGGGAATCTACCAAAGCTGAGATACCGCTCCAGAGCCTCAACTGCCACCCATGGGAATAGGGCCTCTCTGCCCTTTCTACTAGCCTCAATATGGCTTCTTCTGTAAATCGTTGGTTATAATACTTCTGTTCAGCTAGTCTTCAGTTGGTTATTCAGGATGATTTTTCTTTAATTTAGTTGTAATTCCAGTTTGGTCCTGGAAGAAGGTTAAGTGTAGCTTCCACCTACTCTGTCACCATCTTGAATCCATTTTATTACTGTAATATTAGTGAAGTCATGATCATCTGAAACTCAGACCAGCAATTAAATGTAAATTTGAATCAACTGTATGTGACAACATGCAGCTTCATTTGATAGTCAAAGGCCCTCAATACATGGGAACCATGAGAGAAAATAACAAATGTGATTCTTAGGGGTGAAAAGGTTGGGACCCACTAGTTGTGATTATTTACTAGCTGAATTTGTCAATCCAAAACTCAATAGACTTTCTCAATTAGGAAAGGGTTAAAGGATGTTGGTAACACTATCTGGGTCATGCTGTGGATTATCACCAAGACGAGAGCAGTAACATCAGGGTTAGGTCCCAGCTAAGTGTCCCTCTGTCCTCCTTCCCTTTCAGCAGTATCTCACCTAAGCAAAAAGCCCCAATGTTGTTCACAAGACCTGGCTAGGGCTGCCTCATGCAGCTTGTGCAGGAGTTGAAGAGAAGGAGTCAGGAGGCAGAGGTCCCTCAGAGCAGCCAACACACTATACAACTAATGAAGGTCAGGCTGGCAAGGCAGCAAAAGCACAGATAGAAAAGCCCACTAGTACACCATGAAAGCCATATGTGCAGGAGAAGAGAGACTAATGCAACAAGTACCAAGGAAGAGAGAGACAGGGGCTTTGGAATTAAGAAGAAAAAATTCTTTAGGGACAGGGATTGACTTTTAGACTCCAAATTCAAACCTTCTTTCTGACGTTGGAAAAGACCAGCCAGCAAACACCGGGTAGACTCCAGATTCCGATGCATATTAGTGGAACGAACACTGGAAAAAAGCAAAAATGTACTCAAAAAAGAAAGATTTAATTATAAACACTCTGCCTTATTCCACAGAGCAGCTGGGAAGCTTTCAAGAGTATATAAGGGGAACTATGGGACTGTGTGATAGCTGTCCCAAGGTACCCAAAAGCCAGTGAATGTGACCTCCAATTACCACCTGTTTACAGAATCCTGTAAGAGCAACTGCCCCAAACTACATTGGATGAGAGTGGGAACCATCTGGGAGTCTCAGGACAGGTTTCCTCATGCTCAAGATCTTAAACTGAGTGCAACATCTGTTTTTCAAGTCACTCACAAGATTTCCTGTGGGTTGAAGGTTGACGAAAGGAAGGAGACGTCCTCCACATAGTTCTTCCTCAGTCTCTCTCCCAGGGCATACATCTGCTGCATGCCCACATTAGTCAGCTGGCCAGCAAACATGCCCCCCTTGAGTTGGGGGAGAAAAAGATGGAAGAATAAAAACATCTTACAGCCTGCTAAGCCCAGCCCAGAGAAAAATACGAAAGCTTTGCAGTGGGCTTCCCAGAGCAGGAAGCATTGCTCACCTTCAGTATGGTCTTATGGTACTGAGAGTCAAAAGGAGAATGTGGTTTTGGTCCACCAGTGAGGTTGGTGACTGTATAATCAAGCTGAGTTTGGGGTGGGACCTCCAGTAGCCGGGGATTCCACTCTACCTATTGTAACCATGCGTGCGCACGCGCACGTGCACACAAAGAGAAAACAATACATTGTTTAGAAGGTTGTTGAAACTTACAGCACTAATATCCAATAGCACTTGGTACACACAGTTGGAATTATACTAACACTAGACTTGCAACTTTCCCATGGGAAGGAAGGAAAGAAACTCTTGCTCCAATTAAAAGGAAAAAGAATAGGATTTATTATTCCAGGTGTCCTTAGTCCAAGTCCTGTCATTATTACATTATTATCTTACTGTCAGAGTATAAAACTTTATTACCTTAGGCACAAGCCTGTGATACTTCTGCACCTCTACCCCGACAATCCATACATACATAACCACTTTGCTAAACCACTTTCATCGTATCAGAAGCTTTTCCTAATGTTTCAAAATATAAGCATTTGGTCTTCTAGGACTTCTGCACCTTGGGCCAGCGCTGTTCCCAGCTGTACTGCCACTCCATCTCTCTCCTCCCCTCCCAGACTAGACCATGCCCACTGCTCCACTGCATTTTCTCTCAGCTTGCTTCCCTTCCTTGCTCAGAGGGACTCCTGTCCCTATTTGCCCATCCGAGTTTCATTCATAACGCAAGTCTTACTTCCCCATCAGTGACTCTTGCAGCCTTCAGTGATTGTCTTCTTACCTGAATTCTTATGGCACTTACAATCCAAAGAGAAATACTGAACTCAATTTCCCACTATTTTGTTTTGTTTTAAAATTAACATTTGAAAACCTATTATGTCACATATGATTTTATTCATCTTGTCCCCTTCCCATAAATATCCCAGCAGAGTGCCACTAGAAGTCTCAAGTTCTCTTTGCACAAAGGAAGCTCTCCATTCTTTCAAAAGCAAGGTCTCAGTCCCACTTGCACCTACTCTCTGATAACTGAGCCTCTTCCCCTACTGCTGGTGCTGCAGCTACTGATATCAGAAGGTTGGGTGTTCAGACCAGAGACCTTACCTTCTTCCTACTATCTTTTAATCACTGCTCCTTCTTTCAAAGTTCTGATGTCAAACCCTTCAAGGGCTCACAGTACATGGTGGCCCCTGCCTCTCTCTCCCTTCACCCTGCCCTATACACATATTCTCAAGCTACCCCTTCATTTCCTATAGCACCATCCTCACACCTTTTGGCCTTTCAATCTCATGTTTCTTCTACCCAGAATTTTCTCTTTCTTCTGGAGAGAATTCTGCTCATTTCATAAGACAGCTTAAACCCAGAAGCCATGACCATTGCCCCAACTCTCTCACAAGCCTTGGTAACTCTTTTTGTGGCCTTTACTAAACTCTGTAAGAAGAGCTCCTTTACCAGACTGTCTTCTTCAGTAGACTTAGCTCCCTGAGGACAAAGACTGGGTCATCTATTGACTTCTGCATTTCAGATGCCAACAAAGGGTTTGACATGCAGTAGGTACAATTAATAGTGCCAGTAAACTTTGGAAGATACCAAGATTGAGATAACATGACCTTCTCTTTTGGGGTTTTAAGGTTAGTAGAGACAGCAAGCAATAATATAAATGATAGCAGTACTAAAATAGAAACCATGTGCTACAAGAAACCAGATGAAAGCTGCAGTAATTCAAAGGCAAGGCAAACCTTCTTCTCTTCTGGGCTGGAGGTTCAGGAAATGTCATGAAAGGAATAGCATTTAGAAAAACAAATATCTGGACTTGAGAATACAAAGTGGGTAAGAAGAGAAGGTGGTAGAGAGAATTCCAAGAATCCAGGTGGGGCAAAAAGTAGCTTTACAGTTGTTCACATGGAAGATAATACAATAATTAATAAATAATAAAACAAGAACAAACTCTGTGCTTCATGTACTCACAGCTGTACAGCTGTACTTTGTCCCGCCCTGCATATAGAAAGCTTGAGCAAAGCAGCAATAGTAAAGAATGTCTATAGGAAAGAAGTAGTTTGGTTTGCTTCAACCTGGGAGTGTTTTTCAAACTTAATTAGTAAATACCAAGTAGGGTTTAACTTTAAATTGTATATTTAAAGGCAAAAGCTAGAATTTCTCTAGTTGAAGTAGGAGTGGGAACCCAGAGCCCCAGCCACTCAGCATCTCCCTAATCCACAGGCTCCATAAAATAGTGTGAAAGCCAGCAATACAGGTCATAACTGAAATGGAGAGACTAGATGCAGAAAAGCCAGTTTCAAGATGTCTGCAATAAAGTAGATGAGAGCTTAAGACCATATGTAAGGCAGTAGGAATAGAAGGGGTGGGTGCAAGACATTTGAGTTACTCTTGCCAAGTAGTAAAAGCTTTATTTGGGGGTTATGTTGGTGTGTAAACAAGGAAGACTATATAAAAAATTACTTTGATTACAAGCCTGGGGGGTCTTAGGTGAGAAGGGTAATGAAGGTACTCCTTGACCAAAAACAAGACCAAGAGAGAATAGCTGACAAGCTGAGTCCAGTTTTAGGCATTTTAAGATTGAATATACCTCCTTTTTGTTCCCAGCACTCCCAGCATATTCCCATAACTGAAAACTGTTTTGTCTTTCTTCTTCACCAGATTATAATCTCCTTTATAGATGAGACTGAATTATCCATCCTTGTAAGCCCAGTGTCTAGCACAGGTCCTGACTCCAAGTCCACAGGGCCTGTTCAGTGTAAGAAATGTCCTGGCCTGACTGGTGTGGCTCAGTGGTTGGACCACAAATCAAAAGGCTGCCAGTTCGGTTCCCGGTCAGGGCACATGCCTGGGCTGCAGGCCAGGTCCCCAGCTGAGGGAGTGTGAAAGGCAACCCAATCAGTGTTTCTCTCGCACATCAATGCTCATCTCCCTCTCTTTCTCCCTCTCTTCCCTTTCTCTAAAAATAATTAAATAAAATCTTAAAAAAACAAAAAAAGAAATCTCCTCCTGTTAGGCATAGTTGCCAACAGAGGATCTTTGATGTTTCTGGGGAACGACTCCTGAAAATCCTGGTCATGACAAGTCTAAGTATCCGTTTTCAGATTTTCAAGAATGAACAGCACGTCAGCTCCATACATAACATCTACCCCACATACATCCTCTCATTCTTGTTCCTGCGTTACTGACAAAAACTGTTATAATTTTACTTAATTATTTATACCCCATTTTCAAGAACTAACTTAAAGCAGATGACAGCAAAATCTTAGACAACCAAGTCAAAGTAAGCAAGAAAGACAAAAGCAAACACGCTTAGGGACCAAAAAAAAAAAAAAGTACACAGTGATAAACTTACTAAAAAATAAAAAGGTACATCGTCAAAATCCATATATTGTTGTAGATGAGCTAAGATTCAACACTGAGCTTTCTGGCTTTTGTGTAAAAGGAGAAATCTGATCAGATAGACAAGCTTAAAGATGAGAGCAAGCCAACTGTTCAGGAGAAGCACACCATTTCTTAATGTGAAGAGTTAAATTCCTCCCAACAGTCCTCATAAAGAGGCTAGAGTAATATAATGAACATTTTTTCAGTAGTCACACCAATGAGTTCTGTAGGACCATTTCTCGTTTTGTTTCCTTAAAATCAGAAGGATAGCATCTCACCAAAGTCCACTTCTGTGAAGACAATACTATTCTGGGATTGATATGCTACATTCCAAGTAAAAGAAAAATCTACTTAAAACTAAACAAAAACCTTCCGGTGTAGATTTTAGAAAAAAACAATCGTCTTAAACCTTGACTGACACTGGCATCACTGGGAAATTTTTTAAAAGTTACCAATGTCTGAGCACCATCCTGAGCTAATCACATCCAGATCTCCTTGGGGTGGAGTCTGAACTTTTTAAATGCTCTCCAGTCTAGATCCTTCTAAAGCTTCACCAGAGAAGCTTTTACCAAGTCTGAGACCTCTAAGCCAATTAAATCAGAATCTCTGGGATTTTTTTAAAGCTCCCCAAATGAGTCCATGTCCCACCAAGGTTAAGGACCACTGCTTCAGAGGAGTGAATAAACTGACCAGTAAGTAAATATAGAACCAAATGCCTTAATCAACAATGGTGCTGAGATAGGCTGGATTTTATTTTGTAAATAGAGAAACCTGCCAAATTGGAGGCCATTTTGCTACTGTCTGAAGAGGAGGGGAGGGAAATTTGAAAGGAGGGACAAATTTACCTTTTGAATATGTATTTGGATCTAATCTAATGATCAGAATAAATGGCCAATCAAATTCCAGAGTTTTACTTCCAGAGCATAGTAAAGGAAGACAAGTCAACAGCCATTGAAGCCATAAGACAACTTAGTAAAACATCTAGTTTTAGACAGTGCTACTTTCTGCGGACTTCCGAGGTAACTGAAGTGACTTGTCACATGTTTATCTACCAACCAATCAGAGGTCTGGAAACATCAACCAAAGGCAATTTTAATTTCAGAATTGTTGCTAGGTAACCCCTTCTGGCTATAATTAATAGCAGAACCAAGAGGGTTAGAAATTCCCAATAACGACCTCTATCAAATTGGATCTTGGAAAAAAGAAAACCTGAGAGAGGAACTCCAGAAACAAGCTAGAGCAGGTCAATGACACAAGCTCATAGCTTAAATAGGAAGAGTTATTTCCACCCTCCCAATTTTATGCATAAGACTTCATACAAGATAATCAAAGATGTTTAGTGCACCTGCCTAAAGTGTAATGTAAGCAGGAGAATGTAAGCAGGCAGAAAAGGCAATGTGCACTTGATAATTGCAAAGTGAGGACATGGACTCAGATGTTCCATTATTTTGTGACTATACAGACAGAAGATGAATGAAGCTGGCATACCTGAGCTACAACTGTCCCTTCCAATGTAAAGGCAAAAGATACTGTCACACCCTACCCCCGGCTCAGAAGAAACCCTTAAAACAAAAATCTGAAATTTCTTTAGGCTCTCCAGAGAGTATATATACTATACATACTAAGTCCAGGCCTAGACATTCAGACTTTTATTCTCTGCTACAACTGATAACTTTGCCTTTAATATGAGTCTTCTATTGCTGTACGTTATTTTCCAACTTTTCTGTAACAAGAATAAATGAAGGGGAAGTGCACAGGAAATGGGCTATGTACCAAATCATGAGGAAAATGAAGTGACCTAATATGAAAAGGCAAAGTAAGGGATTGAGAGAGGAAGAAGGAAGGGAGGGAGGGAGAGAAGAAGGGAGGAAGGAAGGAAGGAGGGAGGGAGAGAGGGAGGAAGGAAAGGAAGGAGGGAAGAAGAAAGCAAAGAAAGTCCAGTACCAGAAAGTGGTATAGCAATATAGAAAGGCTAACTCAAAACCTGGTAGTAGAATTAAGTGCCACCCAATATTTATGTGGGAAGTATTTTAAAGTTTTTATTTCATCTGTGGTATGATTTGAAAACTCAGTTTTCAGTTGTACAATGCGAGGACACAGCCCTAACGGTATCTGGAAAGCAGCTATGACAGTGAAGAGTATGCTTAATACTCTTTGGACCTGCTGTTGAATCTGCTCCAACATTAACTGGAGGACTGACAATGCAAAAACATTCCGCAGGTAAGAGTAACAGCTGGGGACCTGAGGATTTCAGGTTGCCTATCAGGGGTAATCTTCACCAGAAAGCCAGTTCTTAAATCACAAGCTCACCTACCATGTGAGGTCACAGACCTTCACTGGCTCTCCCCAAGAAATAAATACAGAAAAGGTAATTATGTAATAAATTAATTATTTGTGTTTTAATCATAATTTTCCTGACCAAACGAGGTATATTTTTTAAGACATTATAACCACAAGACTAGCCAATTTTTAACTTTTTTTTCTACCTTAAGTCCCTTCCACAATAGGTATAGAAACCCAAAATAGAAAAGGAGAGCCCCAAGATACAGCACTTGTTACCAAAAAGCCTTCAGAATTTCAAAAGGCCTCCAGCAAACCCTGAGAGGAAGCCACTGTAAAATCTGTTCCCAAATCATTGACTTGTTACCTACTTTAATCCCTGTTAGGGTTGTTCTGTTAAAAAGGTTGCTGCAACTCTGACAACGTTCAAAACGGTACACAGAAATGCACTACACTCTTGTACTCAAGGCTACCCAATTATTTGTTAGAAATGCAGAATCTCAGGCCCTGCCCCACCCCTGCTGAGGCAGAATCTGCATTTTAATAAGATCCCTAGACGATTTATTTGAGCCAGAAGCAGCGTAGTACTAACTGCAACTGCACAGCCATCGTGGGGTGCAACTGGAAGTTCTGACGCGGCACCCAGAGGGCCTAGTGGGTTGAGGGGCAGCAGGCTCCACGCCAGCTCAAAAGCAAGGAGATGAACTGGCGACTGCTGTTTTCACTTCGTCTGGACCAAGCCTGAACCCTACTCTATGAGGATAAGATTCTAAAGGCGTGTGCTCCGGGTGAAATGCCTGCCCCGCCACTGTTTGGTCACACGGTCCTTGCCCCAGCAGCCCCGGCCCAGGCCCACCTCTCACCTGCTCCTCCCGCGGGAGAGGCTTGAGAGGACTCCGTGCCCCATGTCGAAACACCACCTGCACCATTTTCAACTCCAGGAGACTGGGGTCGACGGGATGCTGGCCGTCCGCCGCTCGCAGCTGGGCCAGGGCCACCCGCCGCTGGTAGAAAAAGTACCCCAGCGAGGCCAGAACACTCACAGGAACCCATATGCGCCCCCTAAAGACATCGGTGATCATGGTGGAAGCCCCTCGGTTACCCTCCGGGGAAAGGCTGCAGGATGCGAACACACGCCCTCCGCGAGCTCCGGATCTCAGCGGCTGCCCCCAAGTTCTCGGGAACCGGTTGGCACGCACATCGGGCCCCCTAGTTGGGCTCGTTGAGACTGCGAGACCTGAAAGGGCCTCCAGGTGGGAGCGTGGGGTAAGAAACAGAGGTTGAAGCAGCGAAGACTCTCTGGGAGTTTTAACCTGGGTCAGGGTTGGCCGCTCCAGCTGCAGGGTGGGGCGGGATGGAGGCGGGGCCCGGGGGTGTGTGTGGCGGGAATGACTCGGTTCTTTATCTTTTGCCCTCTAGGGAACCTTAAACTTTTATTCGAAGTTCGGCTTCCAGCACTCCTGAAGGGACAGGAACCAGCCCTAATTTATTCAGCGGCAGTGACCCCAGTAACTGACAAATGGATTCCACTTTTCTACAAGCAAACTCCCACCTACCTCTTCACCCAACCAGGACCCGTTCCAAGTGAACCTCGCGCAGAGGAACATGGGAAAACCAGTCCCGCAATGCAGCCTGTCACAGAGTTGTGAGAACTACGATTCCCACAAGGCTGCGCACCGCAGGGGCCTTAACCGGGAGGTATATAGCTGGGCAGTAGCTCTCGTCCTCCCCCAGCACCCCCCTGCCCTCTGACACTAGGGGCTGGTACAAGTCTCCTCCGGAACTGACTGGCCAAGGTAATCCTCTAGTTTGCCATGCCAGATATTTAGGGACCGTGAGGACAGCGGTAGAATTGGGGTGTGGAGGGCAGTATTTTCTGTATGGGCATGTAGTAGATTTCATTGAAGTCCTGGAAGCAGGGAGCTGAGACACCTACTTCCTGAGCTATTACCGTTTGCAAAGGGCAGCACTAGGCGCTTTATGTTTAATCTTCCTTTACTGCCCCCTGTATATTTAAAGAGGCATAGTTTGCTTAAATCTTAGCAAACTATGCAGAACTGTGAGCTCACTGATGTGTTTACTTACATCCAGAATATTTTCTCATGGAAAAATCCAGGCCTTGTTTACGGGTGTCCCGGTGACTAAGCTCCTTAAGTTACGAAGAAGAATGCCAACCCTAACAACCTGCTGGCCTGGTTCTCATGAATATACAGCTACCACAGGACTGTGTTCCAGATGCTGGCAAGACTATCTGTGGACATGGACTGTATGTATCTATGTTAAGGCAAAGGTCAAGTTGAGAGGAGGGACATTTTTGAGGAGAGTCTGAATATATAACATCTAACCAGTTCTCTCATCATTCTGAATTCTGCCCTTGGATCAAACTGTTCCATATGTGAAGGTAACATACTTACGGAGTATGGCTCCTGACTTGAGTTTAAACTTGTTCACCAAGCTAGCTAGAAGTTTTTGAATGTCCTACTGTGGGAGAAGGATCATTTTGGAACACTGCCCATTATCATAGTTTTCCCTCTGTGGGAAAAAAAGTAAGCCCATGGACTCACTTTTCAGAGTCTTGTTGTTGTGATTAGAAACTGAAAGCTGGTTTTCTTTTTCTTTTCTTTTTTTTTGAAAGCTATTTTTCTATAGCCCACCTAAGGCATCAGACCACCAGACAATACTTCTTCAGAATCTGTGTAATGAAATATAACCCCATTTTTTTTTTACATTTGGGTTGGGGAGAGCTGTTCCCAACACTTCAGTGAAAATGTAGCACAGTTTTAGTGCAGAAGAGCCCTGATATTTGAGCAGCTTCAGCACCTCTGAGAATTCTAGCTCATCAGGCAATGGAATATTGGCATCTGGGTGGATAGGCCACCCTCCTCCACACCCTGCATTCTGGCAGCCTGGGCCAGACTTGTCAGTCATCATGAGCAGCGCCTTTGATCTGTATGAACATTAACAGTGGTTCATCCTGCCATCCTGCCGGGATTACAGGGTCTAACATATACAGGGTCTGGCAAAAAAAAAAAACCAAAATGCCCCTTCTTATTACAAACTCTTTTATTACAAAATCATAAGCATGTAATTCCGTAATATAACAATATCACATTTGAGCACACCATATGACATTTTAGGTGAAATGTTCAAATTAAAACTCTAAATTATTACACCAATATTATTACCCTACCAACCACATTTCTGCCTGACCCTGTATGTGTCTGGGGTGGGAACAGGTGTGTGTGTGGCAGTGCTGGGGATGCCTCAGCAGCTCTCTGCAGGAAGCCAGAATAGGTTAGGTTTGAAAATGACACATTCCATGTGGTAGTTGAAAGCATTGTTTATCAGCACATGTGAGACAACCCCTAGGGAGTCCTACAAATATTCGATGTGTGATGTATGGCAGTGGTGGTGGTAGTAATCTGCAGAATAAAAGAAAGGCTAGAAATCTTGAAATCATGCTCTGGGGATGGCTTTGGAGTTGGGATGTAGGGAGAACTGAATACTTATTATGAACCTCACTTTACCATCAGGTGGAGCTGGTTTGGGAAATCAGCTTTACTCCCACCAAACTGTTTTTGTTTTTTGTTTTTGTTTTTTTTTTTGTTAATTTGAGCAGATTTTAATAAAATCTAAAATTCTTTTTTTGTGTTCAAATTGTCCTTAAATATTTGCAAAAACTCAGTTTTAACCATAAGATTAGATAAGAAACAACCACATTCATTGTTTTATCTCCAGTAGTGAGCACAGTGCCTGGTTCATAATAAGTAGTCCATAAATATTTGCTGAATGAAATTCACTGGAATGCTGTTGAGGACACTGTCCATTACATCACTTATTGCTTCCTGTATAAATCTGCTCCTGAGAAATGTGTTTTAGACTAAAGTGTTAGCATTAAAATAGCATTAAAAAGTATGATGATGACTTTTCTTTCTTTTTTGCCTTGGTTCATGATAAGCTTGGAGCCTAATTTGAAACTTTACAAGAATTTAGAACCTAATGGCCAGTGTAACTGTGATCTTTTCCTCTAGGATATCAGCCTGAATTGGAAGGGACCAAAACAGGAAGAAATTCAGTTAAAAGTCTGTTGGAGCATTCCATGTATGAAAACTTTAGAAGGTAGAATTAATAATGAAGAGTGAAAGAGAGGAAGGAGTCAAGGATGACTCCTAAGTTCCTAGCTTGAGCAACTGGCAAAGTATGCCACTTACTTTGAGCAGAAGTTAGCAAGTTAATTCTGAATTTATATATTATGAGGTACTTGTGAGGCATCCGAGTAGAAATTACCCCTAAATAATTGATTATGTGGGCCTAGAGCTCAGAAAAAGTTTGAACTCCTCTGCACAGTTATTAACTGAAACAGTGGGAAGTGAATAAGATTCCCAGGATGAGCGGGTACAGTGGAAAAACAGAGAGGGGCTAGGACAGGACTCTAAGGAACCCCACCATTTAAAGGAAGAGCAAAGAAAGAGAAGCCTGAGAAGAAGTGGCAGAGAGAGAGAGAAAGAAAACAGGTTTCAAGGAAGCCAAGAGAAGAAAGGTTCTAAGAATAAGGGAATGGACAGCTGTGTAAAAAGGAAATGTGGGGTTAAGTAATGCACAAACCAAGTGTCCATTGGATTAGATAACAAAGTAGTCTTTGGTCACTAGTAAGCAGTTTCAGTGAAATAGTAGGGTGGAAATTAAATAGAAGTGGGCAGTGAGTGGGAAGTTAAGTGTAGATATCTTCAAGAATTTTAGCTGAAAAGAGAAGGTGAACAAGTACAGTAGCTGGAGATGATTGATTCCTGCAGTTAAGGGAGATTTGTCTTTGGAAGATGAGAGAAGTTTGTATATATGTTTAAATGTTGATGTTAGGAAGAAGGCTGTAGATAGGGAGAGTTTGAAAATGTAAGAGATCAAGTGAAGTGCTTAGGAGGGTAGGAAAAGATGAGAAGTGACGTTAGCTGTCATAATTACCCTTAGAAGAAGAAAGAACATATTTTTCATGTTGACTAGAGGGAAAAAAGAAAGAATAGGCATGAACAGAGTTATATTTATAGTGTGGGAATTAGAAGATTTTATTGTCTTTATGGTTTCTGAAAAATTGGGTTGGGGGTGCAGGGCTTGGTGCTTTTGAAGATTTGAGGAACATGGGAAAGTGAAAGATCCACAGAATACACAAGAGAGAGGTTGATGAGTAGGTAACAAAAGGCTTTCTCCAACTTCATAGAACATCAGAATCACTTGGGGTGTTTGTTAGAATGCAGTTTACAGAGCACCAGTATGTCTTACTAGAACTGGGTAGAGCACAGGACTCTGTATTTTATTCTTTTTATTTTTCATTTTTTAAAAAAAATATATTTTATTGATTATGCTATTACAGTTGTCCCATTTTTTCTCCCCTTTATTCCCCTTCACCCTGCACCCCCCACCCTCCGCCACCAGCATTCCGCCCTGACTTCGTTCATGTCCATGAGTTGTTCCTATAAGTTCTTCGGCTTCTCCATTTCCTATACTATTTTTAATCTCTCCCTAATTTGTACTTACTATTTATGCTTCTTATTTCCTGTACCTTTTCCCCCATTCTCCCCTATCCCCCTCCCCTCTGATCTCCATTTCTGTGACTCTGTCCCTGTTCTAGTTATTTGCTTAGTTTGTTTTTATGTTTTTTTGTTTGTTTAGGTTCAGTTGTTGATAGATGTGAGTTTGTTGTCATTTTACTGTTCATAGTTTTTGATCTTCATCTTTTTCTTAGATAAGTCCCTTTAACATTTCATATTATAAGGGCTTGGTGATGATGACTTCTTTAACTTGACCTTATCTGAGAAGCACTTTATCTGCCCCTCCATTCTAAATGATAGCTTTGCTGGATAGAGTAATCTTGGATGTAGGTCCTTGCCTTTCCTGACTTCGAAAACTTCTTGCCAGCCCCTTCTTGCCTGCAAGGTTGCTTTTGAAAAATAAGCTGATAGTCTTATGGGCACTCTTTTGTAAGTAACAGTCTCCTTTTCTCTTGCTGTTTTTAAGATTCTCTCCTTATCTTTAATCTTGGGTAATGTAGTTATGATGTACCTTGGTGTGTGCTTCCTTGGGTCTAAATTCTTTGGGACTCTGAGCTTTCTGGATCTCCTGGAAGTCTTTTTCTTTAGCCAGATTTGGGAAGTCTTCCTTCATTATTTGCTCAAATAAGTTTTCAATGTCTTGCTCTTCCTCTTCTCCTTCTGGCACCCCTATGATTCATATGGTGTCCCAGAGGTTCCTAAGCCTCTCCTCATTTTTTTGCATTCTTGTTTCTTCATTCTGTTCTGGTTGAACGTTTATCTCTTTCTTCTGCTCCAAATCATTGCTTTGAGTCCCGTTTTCCTTCCCTTTACTGTTGTTTCCCTGTGTATTTTTCTTTATTTCACTTTGCCTAGCCTTCATTTTTTTCATCCATTTTGCAACCATACTCAGTCAATTCTGTGAGCATCCTGATTACCAGTGTTTTGAACTCTACACCTGATAGGCTGGCTATCTCTTCATCACTCACTTCTATTTTTGGAGCTTTGACCTGTTCTTTTACTTGGGCCATATTTCTTTGTATCAGCACACCTGTTACGTTGAAAGGG